GAGCTCCGCGCCGCTCCCGCTGCGCCGCTCCCGCTGCGCCGCGGCCGGGATGCGGCAGAGCCCCCCGACCCCCCCCCGGCGGCGTCCGGACCCCCCCGCCCCAAAAGCCGCCGTCCTCCTTCCCGCTGCCCGCTTGCCGGTGCCGGGCGGCCCCGGCCCTGGCGGGAAGTTGCGCGGGGCTGCGGCGGGGAGCGCTGCGGAGCGGGGGGGGCGGCCGGTCCCGCCACCCCGGCGGTGTCGGTCCCTCTGCCCCGGGCGGGGTGCGGGGCTGTCTCTGTGCCCCAAGAGGCTCCGGTTCCACTGGGGGCTCCATTCCCCTGCGGTCCCACAGGACCCCCCCCCATGGGGGGGTAGCCCACGCGAGGGGGGGGGCTGTGACACACACGGGGGCGGCTGTGATGATGCCCACGCGGCGGGCAAGGCCGCGGGCACCGCTGCGAGCCCCCCAGCGTGCGCACGCGTGTGCATGCATGCAGGCGTGTGCAGGCTCTCGTGTGCAGGATTGCTGCCCGCTGGGCCACGCCGGGCGTGGGGCTGTGATGGGGCACCACGATGCCGGGTGCGGGGGCTGCGTGTGCCCATGCAGGGGGGCCGCGGCGCTCGCAGGGCCGCGCTGCCGCCGGAGCGCGTGGCATTGCTGCAGCTCGCCCCGCTTGCAGGCTGCTCGGTGCAGGGAGCACCATGACGGGGCCTGGTGAGCGCACGGGTGCGTGTCGAGGGGCGCCGGGGCTGGGTGCCTGCGTGGGCACGTGCAGCGCGCAGGTGGCATCTGACTCCCGCGGGAATGGGGAGCTGCAGGGAACGGGTGCCCCCCCAGAGCCCAGCGCTCCTGGCGAGGAGCAGGCATGAGGAGGGCTGCTGTGTGTGCACGCGCACGCGTGTGCACGCGTGTGGGAGCCTGTGCACGCGTGTGGCAGCCTGTGCACGCGCGCGCGTGCAGGTGGCACGTGCGGCCGGGCAGGTCACTTGTTGGAGCCGCTCCCGGTGGCGGCGGCGCTGGCGTGGCGCGGGGGCTGCCGCCGCGCGCTCCCCGCTGCGTTTCTAGGTCACGGCGCGGTGGCCGCTGCCGCCGGGAGGTGGGCGGCGCTGGCGGGGGCTGCGGGGGCTCGGGGACGCCCCCCGAGGGGGACGGGCCGCTTTGCCAGGCGCCCTGAGGGCCGGAGCCACCGCTGGCATCCGCCGGGAAAGTTTCCGTCGCGCGGGCAGTCGGGGACCGGGTGCGAATCCTCCTTGGGGTGGCTGCCTGCTCGCCTGGCAGCTCCACAGGGCCCCTGGCTGCACAGCCGGTTGGTTTTGGAGGCCCTGAAGCTGCTCCGAAAGCCTCGGCTCCGCCATCCCAGCCCTTTCCCTGAGCCCGGATTGGACGCTGTTGCACTGTGCTCTGTGGCCGGCCCCTTCCCGGCCCCTTCTCCGTCACGGAAGCATCAGGAATTGGTGCTTTTGCCTTCGCTGTGGGACTCCCTCGTGCCGCACTCCAGCTTTCCGGCTCTGCAGCGGGATGCGCTGCGGCTTGACTCCGGCGGCGGTGCCCTCGGCTCCGGATCGCTTGGCGCGCTGGCCTGGCCGCCCCCGGCGCATGGACGTCCCTGGGGAGTTTGCACCTAGGCCCTGCAAACGCGTTTCCTACCATGGTGCCGTCCTGCAGCAGGGCTGGCTCTGCAGCTCCTATCTTGGCTGCCGATTGTCACCAGCCCCGATGTCCCCGGCAGCAGCGCGACTCCCGCGTCCCCCTGCTCTCGTCCCCAGCGCGCGGTCTTGACGCCCCCCAGGCGGCGCCTGGCGCCGGGGCTGCTCTTCCTTTGCCAGAGCGGCGCCGCGGAGGCTCCCGCTGGATCTGCGCCCGGCTGAGATGGTGGGTGTCAGGAATCCCACTATGTGAGGGCTGGTACACGGGACCCCGCTGCTAAGGCCCTGCATCCGCCCTCCAAATCCTGCCTCTGCTTGGAAAGCTCCCAGCTTTCCGAGGAGTGGCATGGAGAGTGGGAATGTGCTTAGAAGCCGCCCCTGGGAGCACATTGCGCCCTGTCCCCGTCCCCATCCCTGGTGCAGCGGGCACTGTTCCCGGCAGCGCGTGATGCCCTGTCCCGGAGGAGCTCGCGCTGTGCCGTCTCTTGGCCTTGCTTTTGGAATGGAGTTTTCCCAACAGCACTTAAGTAAAATAAATAAAAAGGCCGGTGCTTGCCAGGGAGAGCAAGCCCGAGCCGCGGATTGGCAAAGCGGCACCATTAATTACAGCTCTGCTTTGCTGCCAGCCTGCGATCTTCAGGAAAGGCAGTGGCAGCATGCCGGGGAAGGCAGAGGGAGAGCGGGAATGAGAGGGGACAGGGAAGGAGCCGGCGTGCGTGGGGGGAGAGCACGCGCGCTGCTGCGCTCCGGCATGGCTCTGCGGCGCCTGCTGCAAGCTGCGCAGCAAAGCGCCTTTCCTGCTGCGTGCTCGAGTGTGTGTGTGCACCCGTGGGCATGCTCTCCGTGCAAGTGGGCATGTTCTCTGCTGCACCTGTGTGCAAGCATGCATGCTCTCCAGTACACCTGCGTGCAAACATGCATGCTCTCCAGTGCGCCTGTGTGCAAATGTGCATGTTCTCTGCTGCACCTGTGTGCAAGCATGCATGCTCTCCAGTACACCTGCGTGCAAGCAAGCATGCTCTCCAGTGCGCCTGTGTGCAAATGTGCATGTTCTCTGCTGCACCTGTGTGCAAGCGTGCATGCTCTCCGGTGCACGTGCATTCAAGCATGCATGCTCACCAGGACACCCCTGTGCAAGAATGCACATGCACCAGGGACTGTGCGTGCAATGCTGCGTATTCACAAGTGTGCACACCCGCTCGCTCCGGCCCTTGTGAGAAGCTTTTCTTGGGATCAGGCTGGCAGCATCAGCTGGGATTTCGGTGCCCCCAGCCCTTTCAGAGCTGCTGGGTCCCTGCTGGGAGCCCTCGCGGATCAGCTGCTTTATACAGCCCATTACAGGAACGCTGGCAGGTTAAAAACCGTGTCTCTTAAAACCCAAATCTGCTTTACTTTGTTATTAATCGTTTCTCAGATTACTGGTGCCGGAGCCCTTTAATGCTGCCCGTTTATCACTTTCCTGGCTCGTGCCGGGTCTCCGGCTCTGCCTGGCGGGAGAGGGGACGGCTCGGAGCCGGCGCGGCCGCCTCGGGCACCGCTGTCCCCGGCAGCTCGGCACCGGGAACCCGCGCGGCGCTGACACCATGTTGCAGCAGGGCCCGCGGCGCCACGGCGGCCGCTGCTGCTCCTCCCTCCGGCTGCCGCCGCAGCCCGGGATGTCGTTCCCACCCGAGCGCTTCCCCGGCTCCGGAATGGCTCTTGGAAAGCGTTAATTGTAAACCCAGCACCCACTGCCTGTGCCGGGGCTGCCAGCAAAGGGGCAGCGCCGTGACCAGGAGCTCCTGCGGGGACCTGGCGCATCCCGCTCCGCGGATGCTCCGCTCGCTTTCCCGCACCGGGAGCTCGGCCGGGTGCTGGAGCGCGCCGGGAGCACAGGGACACCCTGCGAGGGGCAGGACGTGGCCCGTCCCCCGGCGGTGGCTTTGCTGCAGGTCCGTGCGCTCTGCCTGTGGTGCCGGATGGTTTCTTTCCTAAACCTCTTCCCGGGCCCGGCTTGCAGCTCAGGGAAATATTCTCCGTGCAGCGGGAGCAGGAAAGGCTGCGGGCGCCGAGCGCGCTGCCGCGGAGCGGTTCTGCTCTCTGCGAGCCTGGGGATGCGGTGCTGGTGCCGTGGGGAACACGAGCCCCGTCCCGTGTCACCACCAGGCTGCTGGTTCTCCTCCTGCCGCCTCTGTGTGGTCCCCGGGACAGCGATGGGCCCAGGGCTCAGGGAGAAATGCTGCTGGAAAACTGAGTCCTGCTGCATCCCGGCTCACATCAGGGCTGGTGGAAAGAGTGGTGTCAGACAGCCCGGGAATGCCGTGCCGGCACATTGGATGCTGCAGGGGACAAGGTGGCCTCGTCCCCCCAGCTGCTACCTGTGCTTTGGGAGATGCTGAGGATGCTGTGGAGATGCGCAGGGATGCGCCAGGCTCCTGGTGGCACCAGGGATCCTCCGCTCTCCAGCTTGGAGATGCTCCCTGCTCCAGAGGGGGCTGCAAATCCCCCCCGGGAGCCGCTCTGTCCCCTCCAGCTCTGTGGTGGCCACGGGCACAGAGGGCCCGGCTGTGCCAGCACGTGGGGCACCACCTCGACCTCCACGGAGCAAAGCTCTGGCCCCACTTAATAAGGTCACTGGGTGCATTATTTTATTAATGAGTTATTAAAAAGCCATCCAAGGCAATGCCGCCGTGGAACCGGCACGCTTCCCGGGAAATACATGCTCGAGCAGGAGCTCTCCCCGTGCTGGGTTTGGGCACTGGGCTGGGGGTTGCGCAGGCTGCAGCCGCTAAGCACCTGCCTGTCCGTGTGTCTGTCTCTCCGGCAGGGCAAATGCCATAGGATGACCGCTGCTGGTCCCCTCTTACTGGCTGTGATTTGGTCCCTCCTGCGGCTCGCGCGGGCCTTCGACCCGGCTCCCAGCGCCTGCTCGGCCCTGGCCTCCGGCGTGCTCTACGGCTCCTTCTCGCTCAAGGACCTCTTCCCCACCATCGCCTCGGGCTGCTCGTGGACGCTGGAGAACCCCGACCCCACCAAGTACTCGCTGTACCTGCGCTTCAACCGCGAGGAGCAGGTCTGCACCCACTTCTCGCCCATGGTGCTGCCGCTCGACCACTACCTGGCCAACTACAGCTGCGAGCCCCGCGGCGAGGCGGGCAGCCCGGCGCCGCGCCGCGCCGGCCAGGAGGAGGAGGAGGAGGAGGAAGGCGAGCTGGAGCTGTGCGAGGCCGCGGGGCCCTTCACCTTCCTGCACTTCGATAAGAACTTCGTGCAGCTGTGCCTGGCGGCGGAGCCCGCGGCCGCCCCGCGCCTCCTGGCCCCGCAGGCGCTCGAGTTCCGCTTCGTGGAGGTGCTGCTCATCAACAACAACAACTCGAGCCAGTTCACGTGCAGCGTGCTGTGCCGCTGGCTCGAGGAGTGCCTGCAGGCGCCCGGCGCCCGCCGCTGCGCCCTGGCGCACGGCGGCTGCAGCTGCCAGGCGCCCC